ATATTTAATTATATTAAAATATTAAAAATTTGGATTTCATATATTGTCATAAGTTATAATCAGGAAACGTGTCTTGATGAAACAATTGAATTATAGAATGAAATCATCAAAAYRTAGATGAACAAAAAAAAATCCACAAAATGAAACAGGTTTCATGAACGTGAAACCGGTTCATGTTGCAAAGAAATTAGGTGAACCGAAACATTTTTATGGTGAACCCGTTGCATTGATGGTGTAGTTAATCCTTTTTTTTATGAGAAACAAAATGAAACCGGTGCATTTTGAAAAAAAATTATGAAAAGGAAAATGAAACAGGTTTCATGAACGTGAAACCGGTTCATGTTGCAAATAAATTAGGTGAACCAAAACATTTTTATAGTGAAACCGTTGCATTGATGGTGTAGTTGTTCCATTTTGTTGATGAAAAGGAGAATGAAACCAGTGCATTTTGAAATTAAATTATGAAAAGGAAAATGAAACAGGTTTCATGAACGTGAAACCGGGTCTTGTTGCAAATAAATTATGTGAACCGAAACATTTTCATGGTGAACCCGTTGCATTGATGGTGTAGTTGAGCCATTTTGTATTTCGCTCGTCATGAACGAAGTGCATGATGAAACGGAGAAATGATTTTAGTCTGCTACATAATCTTGATTATTGTAATCTGCTTCAGAATCTTCAAGATTATAAGGACTAAAGGAATGATTCCATCAAATCGGTGGTGAAATAAGAAAATTACTGTATATGAAATAGTTTTCATAAAAGTGAACTGGTTCATGGCAGTATTGAGCCTGATAAGTGAAATGGTTGCATAAGTGAAACAATTTCATGTTGTATTATAAACTTTTATGAAGTCAGTAATCGATSAAAAAATTTCGTTATCTAAGTGTAACAGATCCATCTACCAGTATAATGAAAATTACGAAATATGATCAGTATTACGTGGATTAGTCTGTTGATTAAATTTTGAAACCAATTTCGTTCATATAATGTAATTCAAAATTTAAAACGATTCACTCCATATAATTGAATATGGTGTGTTATATTCATTTTTTTTATATGTTTTATTGATGGATGTGATTTAAAGTTAGAAATAATATATTGCTTTAAAAAATGAAAATAGTGTCATTAATATCGAGAAGAATGTTACCAAATGTTAAATTTTGCTTACCATTTTTGCCCTTACTGTTGAAATAAAGTAAATTTTTAATATATATATTTTTTTAATTTCCTAAAATAAAGTAAACTAATCTTGGTCATTGATCAAGAAAATGGATGGATGAGATTGGTTTAATATATATATTTTTTTAATTTCCTAAAATATATATCTTTTGTTTTGGTGTAATTTCCTTAATTAAATTCTGTTAATTA